AGCCACCTTTGCTAATGATAAAAGTTACACTGTATGCGCTCTGGAAAAAAAGCAAGCCTATGGATTTAGCTTGTAAGATATGACCCATGGAACCTGGGGGATTTATCTAGTCTCCCCTAAATTCCAGAAGACCAGAAGGAATGAAAAGGCAAATTTTACGCCGGCTTTGGCATATCGAAAGACATCAGCCATCCCAGTTTGCAGAGCAGGGGGTCTTGCACTAACCTCCGGTGAAGTTAGGATTCGATTTAGAGTGAGGTATAGGAGGGTTAGGGTTATGAAGATTAGTGTTATAGTGAGAATTAAAGTTGAGACATAAGAATGGGCAGCAACGAGAGACCACTAGTGGGAAGGGAATCCATGTTTCCGTGTCCGATCCGCTCTTGATTCTTCCCAGGAATGTTTCATAGGTAGTAAATGAACGAACGGCAAGGATGACCTGTCTGGTCGCCTACACAGGGCACGGGAACAGGAATTGTCCACAATAGATTTGGATATGCGTCAAATTCCACATAAATTAGACTTAGAATTGAGGTTGGAGTTATGGTTAAGTCAAGAGTTGGGTTTAAGGTGGGGCTTAGGGTCAGAGTTCGGATTAGAGTCAGGATTGTGTTAAGGATCAAGGTTTGGGTTCGTGTTAAGTCTAGGGTTAAGGGTTAGGGCAGGGCTAGGGTTAAGATTAAGGTTACATTTTAGTTTTAGGTGAGGGTTGGGACATGAGACTATTTATCCTTACTGAAATCTATCGCATCGCCACTTATGTTATGTGGGCGGGGCATTCCTATCGCCGCGTCGTTTTTAGGCGGCTATAAGAGTCATCCACACTGAATGAACCGAAACATTTGGTTGAAATAATACACAAGGTACAGCCCTGTGCATCGGATCGGGAGCGCCCAGACTTTCCACACACCAAATAACTTCCAGACAATCAGAAACAATGATTTTCAATATTTTCTTGATGGAACACGTTATTCCAGCTTCTCATAGTCAACCAGTCATTCCCCAATCACAAATTTGAAAGACTTTGCATGAAAGCCGATGTCCGCCGCCTTGAAGTACACTCAGTTCTAACGATTGATAATATGCAATCGAGAAGTTTTGGTAGTGATTATGGTTTTCATCTAGGGTCGCTGGTGTCTAGACAGCGTCTTTCCGCCTCACTAAGTCCAGCTTCTGACCAGACCTCGGTTTTGTATTCCTCTACAAGAGGCACAGTCTCCTTTAAGGTCCCAACACTTTGACCATGTACATAGTTAGATTTCACATGCTACAAGTATACGGTCGTATAGGAACAAGATGGAAGATAGGATGGAGGTTGATGATGATCCCGCACAAAGCATGCACAGGGCTGATGGAACAGATTTATCTGTGCCCTAAGAGATGATAAAATGAAACAAACAAATTGGATGAACTCCTGAACAGAAAGTTGATAAAAAGACCCACCGGACGGAAATGGGCGCATACGTGTCCAAGTGCGTAGCCAATTGCGGCTGTTAGTAGACCAAGGAGTACCTTCAGTTAAGACGAGACTTTTTGCTGAAAAACTCATCAACTTCCGCAGTATTCGTTGCGAGGTTTTAACTGTTAGAACTAGTGCGAAAAAAACATTAAGACTGGAACTTAATTCACAATATCCTCTGACATTAAAGTAGTAGTAGTATTAGTAGTAGTAGTAGTATAGAGGCAACTTTTAGATGTTAGAATTATACCTTGTTACAAACTACCAGACAACTTTTCCAGCTTTTATTTTGAATAATGTGTCTGCTCTCTGTGAAACAGTATTCTTGCACGCGCCGTTCCGACCACGGAGCAGTGAAACGAAAGTGAGGATACGAAGATCTGCTCACCTTCCTGTTTATATCTCTGGGTGTTTGTTTAGGTAATCGTGTTTTCTTCCCGAAGAGAAAAGCTGCCGTTTACTTAGGCTGCAATAAGTGCCAGGAGGTGCTCGAGTCTTTAATTGTTT